ATGGGACATCCCACTCAAAGATGCATTCTTTCATCTTCTGAAACAGGCCCAGGATGGGTTTACTTCTTAGGAAAAGCATTACTGACAAACAGACCACGCCTATTAGCCAAGAAGCTCATCACCATTGGATCAATACTTACAAGCATCTCCCACACTTTTTGTTCTGTTTCTCTTCTGTATGTAAGCATTTTTTCTTTCTCCTCCTTCTGAGCCTTCAGGCAATCCCCAACCTGGATCTGAAGAGAAAATATATTTCTTGAATTTCTTTTCTTTTTGAGGTTTTCTGTAAAGAATTACATGTAAGGGCAAAAATCGAGTTAGATTTTAGAAGATATGATGCTTCTTTTAGGGATATTCTTGGGAAGGACTTGATAGGCAGAGAAAAATGCCAAATCCAGTCTAAACATCTGTCTGACTGGGGAACCAACCATCATCTCCATCATCATCATCGTCGTCGTCATCGTCATCCTTCTTGTCCTTGTTGCCTTCCTATTCCAACAGTTGTGACTGTCAGCACTCAGAAGTAGCCCATGGAGTGGGGAAAAATGGATGGACAATCTAGTTATCACATTAGTGTCGCCTCTTAGCAAACAGATAGATTTACTCTAGTATGTAGAGTGAACGGCACTTCCCAAAATTAGAGCTCTCTTCATGCTACTCTTTTTTCCAATGCAGGTCCAGAGCTCTTTCAAAAGAGTGCTCAACCTGTGCTTCCAAAACGGGTTGGTTGCTCCTTCCAAAGAGCGCTGTATCCTTGGCGATACGGAGCCCACGTTGTGCGTGACTGGTGCCTTCCAGTCAAGCGTTGCCCAGGCCAATGCCCCTGCGGAAGCCAGGGGTCTGGGGAGAAAGCCCAAATGGTAATGGGGTCCTGCCCAAGTACTGGGAGGGAAGGAGCCTGCCCCCAACAAGGTAAGTGGCCAACAGGAGCCAGGCACATTGCAGCCCTCGACTGCGCCATCGACCTCATTGTTGACCACGGTCATAGTTTGCTTCCCCGACCAAATTATGTTGGGAGTAAAGCGAAGAAGATGGAAATGGTGGTGGATAAAAATGAGAGGGTCTTGAATGAAGCATTGTGTTCACTGACCCTTATTACATTCCATACCTAAGATGGACTGATTGCATGATCAAGCGCCCTCTGCCACTCGTGTCATGAAATCTGCAGATTTGGCTGCGTATGTCAGAATTTGCAAGTGAAAATAAAAGTACATAAGATGTGCTAGAAATACTGGTTTGTACATGATGAAATATTT